ATACGCATACACACATACACATATATCACATACATGATTTTGATAACAACCTGTTCACTTTGACTTCTGGAAGTCATATTGAAAATGTGCAATTTATAATTTTAAAACTTTTGAACTTCTTAAGAATTTGTTTTTAAGAATTGCACTTAGGAAGATCCATACAAACTTCTTGGATTAAGAAATCCCTTAACTTTTATCTTAAGAAGATGTTCGTGAATCCAGCCCCTGGTTATTTTTGTGTGCAAAATACATCAGGTGCTCAGTGAACGGACTGTGGGTGAGAACCTGAGAGTACCAATAGTACAACAACTTGTACTATTGAGTTAACGGCTGTCAGAGTGAAAGCACCTGTACTCTTTTCACTCTCTCTCACCTGAAGCTTGGACCTCCATGATGTACTGATGCAGGTCTTGACCCTGCTGCATGACCTCGTAGGTCATGTTGTTCATAGCCAGTTTTCTCTCCGCGTGCCGCTGGAGTCTCTGTTCAGCCAGACTGGGTTCTTCTGCGGTGAACTCGTTGACCTGACGAACCAGGTCCTCATTCCACGCGTCTAACTCCGCCGTTACCTGCAGGACAGGAGGGACAGTTTAACACCTGCGCACTGTAAAAAATGACTGTGAATTTAACGGTAAAAGACTGTAAAAATGCTACAGCAAAAAAAAACTGTTAAATCGTTAACGATAAATTCCCCTACTATATACGGTGAAAAACTGTATTAGACATTACATGTAATTTTACCGTAGTATACGGTTTTTGGAAGTGAAAAAGATGAAAAAGATCAAATTTGATGTTTTTTGTTGAAATAACTGTTTCTTCTTAGTTTTTTTTCTTATCAGTTTTGTATATTAGGGTTGTGTGTTACACCTAATGTTGTTAAATGAATGTTTATTGCATTATTTCAGTTTCATGTGTGTTACCATGATGGTGTTTAGTGTTTGTGTGAATAACACTGTGCACCTTCTATATATGTTATTATTTAAAAGCTGCTTGTGATGGGCTTTGGTTCATCATGTGACTTTCTTATCACCACCTGCATTTGGTGGTTATCAGTGTATTACAAAGGTACAAAACAGATTTCAGTACTTCAATAGGTTGGTATATTAACATTAAACCAGTTAATGAAATTACGGTATTTAACTGTAAATTTAAGTTAAAACCGT